AACAAGAATAGCAATATACTCTCAAAGCATTACAAGATTGACTAGTCCGTCCTTTTATAAATAATCCCAACAGCATTTCAAAAATATTTTGAGGGCATAAACTTTGCTGACAAATTGTTGTCACAATGTGAAAATTCAAACATTTCATTTATTAGTCTACATTAACATTAATTAATGCACATCTATTTTGACATACTTTTTTTTTTTTTTTTATCCCACCCATTGCTATGGTTATTGTCAATCACTGAAATTTCGAGAATGATCCCACATTCCCCTACGCACACAAGAAGCCATTTAGACATTTGCAACAAACCGTCTTGCAGTTCTCAGTTCTTGTTTCGCTTTTAAACTGCTGTTGACAGGCTTGCAATGCTTTTGGCCATATTTTGGCAGGGAAAAAATGTGGCAAAAGTGTATGCACAAAAAAATGGTAGTCAGAAGAATACAGAATACATATTTATTGTTACAAACTGCATGAAGCTGCAGTTTCACAATATATTACAGTTAAAAAAAAAACAGTAAAAGGCTAAAAATCTTTTTTATCTTACACATGAAATGCAATTTACACTTTTACAAATCTTCTCTTGCGAATGCGAATATAATTTACGCTTGTTATATTATCTACACTGCGCAAATCTTTTAGGAATCATTTTACCTTCATAATGTTCAACATGAAAATATCAGCTTAAATAGGAGAGATTTTGAATATTATCTTAGACAAAAAGTGGCCTTGGACTCAAACAGTTGAACAACTGTCCACTAGAACAGTGGCTTTCAAACCCTGGGTTGCAACCCTCTGGTGGGTCTGTGGAGACTATTTTGCAGCGTTGAACATCGTAGTCAATCACAGACAGATCTGTTGATTTCTGGAAAGCAAAACAGTCAATCAGAGGTGTTTCAGATAGTCAGAATCCACTCACCGCTCAAAATGCCAGAGTTTTGGTCAGTCCTGAGTTCTGCACGCTCACGAATTATAATGAACAAAAGTGTAGACGCGATGTAAATACGAGATTTATTGTGCAGTGTAGAGAGATTCATTGATTTTAAGGGAATTTTCTGAGATCGCGATAAACTGAGATGAGTGACGGCTTTTCAGTGATGATAAAGAGAGTGCACTTTGTACGCTTTCTTGGCTATTTATAATCCATTCAGAATTTTAATGAAACTTTTGTTTGTCATGCTGCTAAGAGGACCAACGTGGCATACATGCTGCAGAGTTTCATGAGTGACATTCTCATATAAATGGGGGATTCCTTGTCAAAACTGCAGCATCTATCTATATCTAGCTATATGCACGACTTCATGCATTTAAATGGTTGCATAGGGTCACGTCAGTTTAAAAAGAGAAAATAGGGTTGCTCTTTAAAAAGTTTGAATACCACTGCACTAAAACCACTAGAAAATTCCTTGTTTTGCCATTTTAAAATAGATAGATAGATAGAATAGATAGATAGATAGATAGATTGATTGAAATAAAACACATTTACGGACACCTAAGACATACAACTGCAGTATACATGCTAAATCAAACTTTGATTTCAGCATCATGAACCTCTGGACAGCACCGACCACAAGAGAAGTGCTCAGCAGCTCAGCATCGCCATGGGCCACCTTACCTTGGTTTTGAAGGGGAAGGAGGACATTATTACTGATGGAAAGCACAGTTAGTGATTTTCTTGAAATATTCAGACTTCAAAAGGTTCCAGTGCACCATTTTCTTTCTCTAACATTGCTTTTCTACCTGCTCTCAGTGCTTACCTGTAATCAAGAGGGCAGTGGGCGGCGTTGTGGAGGACAGGGAGATCTGCTCTCCGGTTCCTTAGGAGTCTTCGCCCACTGGGCGTTCAGCTCACCTCCAGATGCAGCTAAAGGGTGAGTTGCTCCATCTTCAGTAATTATTTGATGTGTCATTGCATATCACTTTCAGTTCAATTGTAAATGTACCTTTTTTTTCCCCAGCATGAATCCCTCGCTGGTGGCTGCATTCGGTGCTACGTCTCTGACAAGGCAATGTAATCGCCAGGCCTTCCACAAACACAGCAGATCTACCACCACCTCTGACATGATCCAGGAGATAAGCAGCGCTTTCAAGAAGTTGTTTGAAAGCTAAACCTACGTGCGTGTATCCATTTCTCTTTTCATGGACATTATAAAGACTAAAGGTCTGCATCTCAGTGCTACTCATATTAAATAAAAGTGAAGTACATTGTTGAGCATCTTTTTTCTTTTCCATTTTATTTTAAAGTGCCTCTTGTAGTTCTGCGATACAGTTTCAACTACTTCTCCACTTTCATGTCTGTGTGGTCGCCCTCTATAAACATCATACACATTTTTTTTTTATATATATATATATATATATATATATATATGTATGTGTATAGATGTGTGTTATGTTTGCGAGTGTTTAGATTTGTATATGATAACCCACCAGGAGATAGTTTTAACACTTTCCCTTTATGAATGAATTGCTACTACCAGCTGCAATTTATTTATTGGTCTGCTTGAAAAATGTTCACTTTTAAGTATTCAGACAAATGCTCTACCTTTATAGTGGATGTTCTCCTTACATTAAGCTGTTTAACACCTTATTTTCTGTCAATAACTCACAATCCCTATTTAGTATGTGGGACAAATTACAAATAATTGAAAGTGGCTGTCACTTTTAGATATAGTTTGCTATTCTACGTATTAAACTAACATGAAAGTTTTACTTATAACTGTTTCGGTTTTGTATTATTCATTCTGTGTAAATGCATGAATGTGTCTGGACTTCATTTTGGTTGGTAAGATAGTAAGAGGTTTGGCAAGAGGTTTTCATAGAGATTGAGAGTTTTGGTTACACTTTATTTTAAGGTGTCTTTGTTACAGTGTAATTATACATTTAAGTACTGAGTAATATTAATTAACTGCATGTACTTACTATATGGTTAGGGTTTGGCTTAGTGTTACTTGCATGTAATTATTCATAATTAATTGTTATTATAATAGTACATGTAACGTGTAACAAGGACTCCATAAAATAAAGTGTTACCAGAGTTTTTTTTATTTATTTTCTTTTTTAAATCAAATAGAGAAGAACTATGCAAAAGCTGCTCAGTTTTAAAATAATCGTTAGTACTCATCCTCATAGTATTTATATATTTTAAAAAGCATAGAGTAGGAAGCTTTTTATTTGTTAAATTCATACCTCGTTTACAATGCACAATACATGCAAATTAGTCACAATCTGCAACAACAACTTAGTATGACAACACCTGAAAACACCTTAAATTTATTAATTATTCTTATTACAGTAACGTTCTTTGTATGCACGTTTTCTTATAGGAGATCCTTTGTGGTATTATTGTAATAACTAAACCCTTTTTACACCAAAATAGGATAGCATCGTGACCTTGTGAATAAAAAAGGTAATGTTGTATAGAATCAGATATCCACCTTATTTATTTATTGTAAATTGTATGTGTCTGGCTTCCGGGGTCATTTGCTTCCTGCTATTGTTAGCTGTACAAAACAGCTCGTTTTGCTGCTTGATATTGCATATTGTGTTTCTTACCATATTATTTTAATGTATTGCCTTAATTATGAACACACTGGTGTGAAGTGCAAACAGTTTTACCGTTTACTGCACTTTATTTTGTTGTTATTCTCGTTATTTCTCTACAGCGGCTAATGAACCGGAAGTCTTGCACATTCACAGAAAACGGCTTACATCCGCGTTGAAAAATAAGAGACTTCAAAATATGTCTACTTTTTCCTTTGACGCTCTTGTTGTGTACGTGCTCTTGTCTTCACCGCGCCACGTTCTATGGCAAGCCGTTTTAACATTTAATCTATAAGCCGTACTAGTATCTATTTTCATGGTACTAGTATCTATTTTTTAGATACTAGTATCTTTTCCATTAAGTACTAGTACTTATTCATTAGGTACTAGTGCTTATTCTTTAGCTACTAGTGCTTATTCTTTAGGTACTAGTGTTTATTCTTTAGGTACAAATGTATTTTGTAAAGTTACTAGCACTTATTCGTGCTAGTGTCTATTTAATAGGTACTAGTATCTAATGAATGAGTACTAGTATCTAAAAAATATGTACTAGTACCTAATGAATAACTACTAGTGCATAAAAATTAAGTACTAGTCACTAGTGGAATACATACTAGTCAAAACTGAATAGTTGATATCTCAATGACGGATCCCCATAGAAGTCAATGGCAAAAATGTAAACATTTTTACTAGTAACAATATAATAGTTACTAGTCACTATTGAAATAAGTACTAGTACATATTTAATAAGTACTAGTATCTAATGAATAAATACTAGTATCTAATAAATAAGTATTAGTATCTAATAAATAAATACTAGTATGTAATCAATAAGCACTAGTATCTAATGAATAAGTACTAGTATCTAATGAATAGACACTAGTACCTAAAGAATAAACACTAGTACCTAAAGAATAAGCACTAGTACCTAATGAATAAGTACTAGTACTTAATGGAAAAGATACTAGTATCTAAAAAATAGGTACTAGTACCATGAAAATAGATACTAGTACGGCTTATAGATTAAACGTTACAACGGCTTTCCATACACGTTCAGTGGCGTGACTCAATCCTCCGGATCCTCGAGTTCTCCGTTTCGGGTTTTGTGCTGCGTTTATTTTATAGTGAGCATGCGCAGAGCTTCAGTCCAGTTTCTCGAGAGATCCGTTTCTGGTTTTGATGGTCATTATATTGTACTGGGCATGCGCAGGCTAAATCCGGGTCTAAAATTATCCGTTTCGGGTTTTGTGGTACGTTTTTATTGTAGTAGGCAGTTTTAGTCAGGGTCTCAACTTCTCCGTTTCTGGTTTTGTGCTGCGTTTATTTTATAGTGGGCATGCGCAGCATCAGTCTCAAGCGATCCGTTTCGGGCTTCGGGGTACGGTCACATTGTAAGTGCGCATGCGTATCTCCAGTCCTGATTCTCATTTGATCCGTTTCGGGTTTTGGAGACTCTTATGTGAAGTTTCGGTCCTTCAGCGCGCGTGTCTCGTCTCGCCTCCCCTTTGCAAGCGCGTTGTTTGGGCGGTGCACTTAATAAAAGCAGACATCGTGAAGTCCACCATTTTTTCTGACGATTCCTGTTTCCACGTATTTATAAAAGCGAGCGTTTTTGCTGTGCACTAATGTCGGTGGGACTGGAGTCTGGGTTTTCTAGCGAGGAGGTGCTGAATATCCGCTTCCCTCTTCATCGCGCGTGCAGAGATGGAGATGTGGGCGCCCTGTGCTCGCTCCTCCAGTGCAGCACAGATCAGCTGGCTGTGGAGGACTCTTTCTACGGGTGGACTCCTCTACACTGGGCTGCACACTTCGGCAAGGTGCACAATCGAACTCATTTATTAAGCAGCATGTGTAATTAATTGTTATTTAGATATAGTGTGCACGAAAAAAAATCATACTCAATTAAACCATTATTTGTTACTCTCCTTAATAAAATGCAATGCATTGCACCTTTCATTTTTTCATGCATTTTCAAAGATGTTAAGTTATTCGTCAGTGACACTCAAACCGCATCAGAAGAAGATGATAATGGGATCGTGCAAATATGATGTATGATCTGACTTCGCTGATGAACGTTAGTTGAACGTTGCGCATATCAGTGGACGCACTGCAGACGGGTTTGGCTTGATCTCTCTTTTTAATCTGTTTTTCCATCTTTTATTTTAATATTATTATTTAAAAAACAAAAAGCTTGTCTTGTGATTATAAATCCGTGTTGATTGTAAAAGAGCAAAACGGAGACGAAGACAAACTGGCCCGTTTTCATTAGTTTATTTTAGGAAATATTTATAGGAAATAAATTCAGCAGTTAATGATGAGAAATGATGAGGTCGTTTTAAATTTCAACAGATAAGGCTCAGAAATGAATGTTTTTATACACTTTTTAGTTAGCAACTTTCAGTGATTCAAAATGATCGCATGTTCCATTCAATAATATATCAAATACAATGCTAAACGAACAAAAATATGACATTGCATTTATTCATTTGTATTAACGTTGTTTATCTAATTATGCTTCTAAGACCGGTTTTAGAAGCGTAATTAGAAAAAACACAGTAGCAGTTCTTGGTTCATTTCAGTTTGGACCCGATGAAATACGTTTCAACTGCTTTCACTCATTCAATGAGTGTTTTTGATTCACTAAAAGAACCGACTCATACGAGTCCTTGCACGTGTGGTCGTATTTTGTCCGAGTATTTTTTTTACAAGTGTAGTTTTGCATTGATACCTGTGGGTGTAGTCTTTCCTCAGGTAATGATGTTGAACTTCAGGTTTCTCTCACTTTCTAAAGAGCTACATTATCTGTTATGTGGCTGATGTGTTTATTCTCAGATATCTTGAAGTTACCCAACCGGATGAAGTATGAGAGTCAGCAGGCTGATATAAACACCAAACCCTAGGTTTATTTTTAGATGTGAATTACTGAAAAGGGAAAGCATTTTCTGCATTGCATTGACTTTTAAAGCTCCACAGGATGCGTGCATTTCAGCCTTTCAAACTTAGAGGGAAATTCCTCTGTGTATGAGCTTGATCAGCAGGGTTTTAGATCAAACTAGATTTTGCCAGTTGAATTATTATGGCAAATCTGATATGACTTATAAAAATAGTCATGAGGAAGCTATAAATCTCTGTTCTGGTGCCACTCCCACTTGCTGTGTGTTGTTGGCTTTATCTGGATGGGTGTAATGTCAGCATGGGAGTGTCTAGAAAGAATGGTTTATGGCGCTGTGGAGTAGATGAATAACAGGAAGAGTCCGAGTGAAATTTGAGATTTTGCAGGAATGATCAGCATGGAATGTTGAAACAACAGTAACCGTCTTTCATGTACTAAATGCTTCCAGTATGTATCAAGTGCAATTGTTTTCTTACCCAGGTACATTAGACCAATATTTAGTCCAGTCAGTGTTGGGGAAAGTTACTTTTAAAAGTAATGCATTGCAATATTGCGTTACTCCATAAAAAAGTAACTAATTACGTTACTTAGTTACTTTTTATGGAAAGTAATGCGTTACGTTACTTTTACGTTACTTTTTAAATTTGGACAGGGCTCGCTTGTTTGTTTGCAAATATAAAAGCCTTTTCACACCAAACGTGAAATGAATAAGCCTCAGGCTGAAGGAAATGTAAATTTACGTCCGTACAGTAGAATGCACAA